ATCCTAGTTTTTTTAAACTAGATTTTCTAATGAAACTTAAAAATATAATTGGCTCCATAACCACACCTTTTCACATGTTACATATACACTAGAAACCCGGTGCACGGATTCGTGCACTGATGGGCTCCCTCAGCCTGACCTGTGCTCTCTCACAATCCAGAACCCCTCGGTGGGTTGTCAGACTGCTTGTGTCAGCTGGATCTCTGCAAGGGACCGGGCCAAAACCGGCAGTCCGACATCGAGGGATATAGTAGTGAATGAAGTGGCAGGCAGCCGGGGAGGAGCCTGAGCCCGAGCCAGAGCCCAGGCCGGTGCCATGCTGCTCCTGCTCATCACTTGGTAGAGCTGCTGGAGGTTGGAGAGGCTCACACCACCACAGCTGTGAGTGCCAGCTGCCCATAGGTTGACCATTTGCTTAGGGTTTTATATTCATAGATTTTTCAGGGTTTTACAAGTTTTGCTCAAATTACTTTACTTTTCCAGTTAAGTGCTGCAGCATTTTAGCTTTTTAAAAATTAGCCAAAAGTATGGCTAGGTATTCCTATAGTTAGCTAAATTAAATGATGTACATGACCCTTAGTAAGAAGGACCCTGTGTACCCAGCTCAGCCACATGTCTTCTGCACTTCCCATTCTTATATTGAATTATTTGTAGTTCCATGATTAAGTCCTGATCTCTTGTGAAAAATGCTGTAACTTTGCAAACAAGTTTCCTTCCGCTGAAATATTTCCCTTTCTATTCAAGGACACTCCCATTTATCAAGTCTGCAAAACTTGTCCTGATGACTTTTCCATAGCCCCCTTCCTGACAGGTCACATTAGACCCTTGTGATATCACTGCCTTGAGATTTTGTACATAGTACCATTACATTGATTATCTCTTTAAATTATTATTATTTTGTTACGTCCATTTGAGAGCAGGTACTGTGATTTTCATGTTGCTATTACCCTGGCCCAGAGTAGGCAAGTATTCACATGTGTTAAATGTATGATAGAAATATTGTTCTCAATGGATAAGAAAAACACCCTTACTATACATAAATTAAATTTATTCTTATATATAACTTATTTTGTAGAATTGTTAAGCCTTACTCCAAAAGAGCAACAACAAAATCATTGTGGTAGAGCAAACAAAACCAAAGAGGAATCAGTACAAGATTTAAAATTAGAAAAGCAAGGCATATTATACAGCACTCCTCCAAAAACACCTTTTTCAGGTACTGACAATGACATAGAATATGTTGGAATTAAGATTTGCTGCCAAAACTCCCCACAGATTATGATCTTTAATTCAAATACATAGCAATCAATAGTTTATTCTCCCTTTACTTCCCAGGGACATCAAACAAAGGACATGTCACAAAACCAACTTTTAGGAGTGATCCTAAGTAAGAATAAATCTTGCAAGATTCATCATCAATAAAACAACAACTATCATTACCATTAAATCGATTATGTCAACCTTCAATCCACTTAATGTCAATTAATGAAGTTTTAAAACTTTTTCTAGAACAGCATCTGACAACCTAATAGCAGGCCATTGCAAGTAAATACGTTCACCCTTCCTTCCCCATCCCCCAAGTTATCAGTGTACTTGAAATGTTCATATAAAGTACAAGTTGGAAATAATTTCACATTGGCCTACAGAAAAGTAATAAAGAAAATTCAGCTGAATACAACTAAAGTAAAATGCAAAATATGTAGTACTGCTCAGCTATAAATAGAAATAGTTCAATTAGAAACCCAGACTATCACGAGAACTCTCCTGGAAGTTAAATGGGAATTACAACAAGAGCACTTTCCAAAGGCAGGCCATTTCTTTACGCAATTACTTGTTTTCATTTTATAGCTGTCATACTTGTTTGCCTATAATGAAACATGCTCTGCTCTTCCTGTAATCAAAACAATAAAACACTTTCTAAAGAAAGAATATGTGTTTCCCAGTAGGTAAGATACTATTTTGGGGAGAAATAATTATTTTCAGGTAAATGAAGTCCAGTAACCTCTAATCAGGGAACAGGATAAAATTTATAACTTCATATAAAATAAAAGGCATAGTATTTAAATTTTTTGCTTTGATTTGTGGGACAAAGACTTTGTAATTCATAGACATGCATATGTTTTAGTAATGTTTTGGGATGTCAAGAATGAGTCTTTGTATCTTTCATTACTTGAAAAATGAAACTTCTGATCATGTTTTAGATTAATCAATTTTGAAATACCTCATTGGAAGTTGGAGAAAAAAAAAACATCTTTCATTGTAATGAATACTATATGTTTGATATTTCTTGGGAGAAAAAACATAAAACATGTCTTGAGTGAAAGTTTTAACTATAAATCAATTAAAATTCCACTGCAATTACTACTAACACAGAAATACTGCCACAGGATGACACATAGAAACAGGGTTTTATAGCAAAATTCATACCCATAAAAAATTCAACCCAAAGAATGACTTAAAATGAATAGGAAAAAAGTGAATTCACTCAATAGAACATTTACATAAGTTTGAAGAGAAATGAAAGACCATTGGCTAGAGGTAACATAAAATTCATTCAGGAATCATGCTTAACAAAGGAAATAATAGCACATAGTTTAGAAGAAATCAATGGAAGTGATTATAGAAAAATATGTATTGTTGCTATAACTAGTAAGAAAAATGTCAAAAATATTTATAAAAGTAAAGACAAAAAATGTGTTATGCCACAAATTACAAAATTGGGGCTTATGTGTTAACTAACATTTATCAGCACCCTGACAAATTTGACTAATTGGTCACTGGAATCTTTGTTTCGAATCCTGGAATCCTTCTCAATACACAACACTGAGAGCCATTACCAATCACTGAAAGTTGGCACTGAAACCTATTTGTCATATCTGCTCTCAGTGTCATTATTCAAGATATTTCACTTGGAACCTTCTCTGCAGGCATACAGTACATGCTATGCACAACTTTCTAGGAAATGTGGTCAAGCAAAGGCTGACTTTCAAAAATTTGTGAATGCATGAAACTTCTTAAAAAGAAAAATGGAAATATAACATTACAGCAGATGATGTTGTGGTTTAGTGAGTGGAATACATTTTTAAAAACTGCTATCTATGACTTAGAATGGTTTCAATTCTGATGATATAGATAAAAAAATATATATACTGCCCTCCACTTGCAAGAAAAGCAATCACTATAAAAGCAGCAAGAAACTGAAACAACCCCAATGCAATAGAAATTAAAGAATGTTACTGGTAATTGAAAAATTAGTAAGACAGTTTCAATAATGTACATTAGAATTTACAACCATAGAAAAGGAATCTGAGAAAAAATGGAATAACTAAAGTAGAAAATCTGATACCCATAGTAGCATTAACATATGAGCCATTAAAATTATTGATTTCCACTAAAAGGCAAAATCCTTTGTTACTTTGAACAAAAAGTGTTTTGTCTAATAAAGTAAATAATACAATTTGCTCCAAAATCAAATACTTTGTCTTTAAAAATATCTATTATAATGTAATTTGATCTCTATTTATAGAAAGTAAAACATAAATACAATGACCATTATAGGTGTTTTAAATTCCAGAAAAATAATTTCCTTATTGAAATGTTTTTAAATGTATATAATCATTAAAGCATATTTGAAGCATAAGCCTTAATTTTAGCTTTAGAATAAAACTGAACACTAAGCAAAATCTGTATGGGGGGCCCAGCCAGCATGGCTCAGTGGTTGAGCATCGACCTATGAACCGGGAGGTCACAGTTCAATTCCCGGTCAAGGCACATGCCTAGGTTGCAGGTTCAATTCCCAGTGTGGGGCATTCAGGACATAGGCCATCGATGATTCTCTCTCATCATTGACGCTTCTATCTCTTTCTCCCTCTTCCTTCCTCTTAAAAACATATATTTTTAAAAAATGTGTCGAAACTGGTTTGGCTCAGTGGTAGAGCGTCGGTCTGCGGACTGAAAGGTCCCAGGTTCGATTCCGGTCAAGGGCATGTACATTGGTTGCGGGCACATCCCCAGTAGAGGATGTGCAAGAGGCAGCTAGTCGATGTTTCTCTCTCATCGACGTTTCTAGCTCTCTATCTTTCTCCCTTCCTCTCTGTAAGAAAAATCAATAAAATATATTTTTAAAAAATGTGTATGGGGGATTAAGTACAAAAAATATCCATTGATGTGTATATCGGGGAAGTTAACTTTACTCTACTCTAATTATATATATTATATAAACCTACCAGAATGTTTAAAAACTTCAATTACACACAGCATTTTATAAATATAGTCTTATCCATACTTATGATCTGACAAATTCTGCAAGAAATCTTAAGTTGTAGTAACTTTTAGCATTAAAGAACATTAACCATAATCCAGAAAGCATTCAGAACTAGTCATAGGTTGTAATATAATTAGAGAATGTTTTCTAAAAATTTGAAATAACTAGTACACTAAAATCTTTTACATTTGGTTAAATTCACTGTCATGAATTGTTGCTCTACTGTTATGCTTTTCCATGACTTTTAAAGTAAATTCTTTGAAAAACTGGAAATAGGTGATACATGAAACAGTATTATTGGCTATGAGACTGTAGCTGCATATATGTCTAACTTGTGGTATAACTTACCACTATGTTATTCATGATTATAACAAAACAAATTTTACTTGATATGTAAATCATTGCCAATTAGTTGTATTTACCTCAAGTAAGATAGAAAAAAATGTTTCTATGAACTATACAAGGATGGGCAAAAGGTTTACAGTTGTGAGTACATAAAACAGTTTATTCTTATACCATTATTTATTATTGTATTATTTTACATAGAAATTATTGCCCTAATTTTGCCCACTCCTGTATAAACAACTATCAAATAATGCTTTTACACACAATATGAAAACTAAAATGAAAATATTTAAATTTTGTAAAAGAAATTTATTGCTGTATTGTAACAAATATATAATTTTCTAGCATTCTTTTAATAAAAGTGGAAATGTTTTTAAAATATTCTCCTTACCTGTGTATACAATTTTTACTTTCGAGATATGCCATACCACAAGCAGCATCTAATGAAAATTTCACTAATTGTTTGGGTTTTATTTCATCTTTCTTTTTTCTCAGATAGGAGAGGAAATCACCTCCTAGAAGAATTGACAGATGAAGAATCAGACAAGATCATGATGACAGTAACATTTGTCCTCTATTATAGATACCTCACAGAACAAAAAGCACAACACATTTGGCCATACTTACTGGCCATTTTGTTTGAGGTGGGGATGAAAGAAATTATAAAAAGGGTACATCTTATGAGAAAAGAGATACCATTAACTCTCTCAGGTACAGTTTTAGTACTTTAAGTGCTTCACATTGCATGTTACCTTACACAGGATGATAATATTTAAACAAAGACATGCAATTTCTCACCAATTTGCCTGACTAAAATTTTGTAAGAAATTTTACTGTCTCTCTAATATCAAATAAAAGATTGCAATTATTATGAATTAAACAAAAAAACTCAATGATATTGAATTAGTTATTAGACTCAGTAATTGCTTTAAAAATATTTTGAGATTATTAACAATACTATCAACTGTAAGTAGACCCAGACAGAGTAGGGAAATCGGTAAGATTTTGCTAATAAGATTTATTTGCTGCACCAGATTGCATTTTTAGGCATCAAATGAATTTTAATGATGTGGAGAAGCACCTTAAACCAGCATAGTTCAAAAGAAATATAATTCAAGCCACACAGTAATTTTAAATTTACTGATAGTCACATTTTGAAAAGTAACAACAAAGGGTGAAATTTACTTTAATAACATTTTTTCTTTAGCAAATAGATCCAAACATTATTTATCAACATATATCATTATAAAAATTTTAGGTGAGATATTTTACATTTTATCATCCTAAGTCTTTAGAATATGTTTAACATTTATGGGACATCTCAATTTAGATGCAAATTTTCATCTGAAAATACTTGATCTGTATTTAGAGTTCATAAAATTTACAGTTATAAAGTAAATTCATATACATAAGTTGTTCCAAACATACTTAAAATTTTCCAATAATTGAATCATGTATCAATTTTTAAAACAATTAAAATGAAATACAATTATAAATTCAGTTTTTTAAAGAAGCACTATCCACATTTCAAAAGCTCAAGAGCTCAGAAGCTATATGTGGCCAGGATTATCATGTAAAATAATACAGCCTTAAACTGAATTCATTATTAATACAGCATTGAAGGCTATGGTTTGATTATTTTTCTCTTGTTAGTGGATAATGTATTGCATTCAAATAAAGAAGTCAGATAGAAAAAAATCAAGAACCATATGATTTCACTCATATGCAGACTATAAAGCTAATAGCAAGAAATGAACAAACAAGCCAATCAAACAAAAACTTATAGACACAGACAACAGTATGCTGGTTACCAGCCGAAAGGGGAAGATAAGGAAAAGGGAATCAAATACATGGTGACAGAAGATTTGACTTGGGGTGGTAAACACACAAAGCAATATACAGATGATGTATTATATGAAACACTTATTAACCAATGTCACCCTAATATAAATATAATTAAAAATTAAAGTATATTAGAATGAATGTCCTCTAAACATAATCATTCCCACTTTCTATTAGGCCTTCAGATATTAGCCAGGTTTTTGCAAGAGAAATTAGCATTTTAATTCCCATTTCCTAAACTTTCTTATCTTTTTCACCAGGGCCTAGGCTTCCTAAAGTGGAACAATTCTAGAAGTAAAGACTTAACGGCTTTTTCTTTAATGAGAATACCTAGAAAATAAGAACCTGCCTAATTCTCCTTATAATATTCTTTTCTGAACATCTTCTTTTATTCACAAATCAAGTGTTACACAAATTTAGGTGGGCCTTTTATAAAATCAGTAAGACCTATGCTTAAAAATAACTTTAACAGTATCAGCTTCCTTCTTTCTGTTTTTCATTTTTGTCTTTTTAAGAAGAATATCAAATGTATTAAATTACTAGGGAGATTGTTGAAATAGTTTCTATAAAATTTAACTAATTTTCTGAACAAAACACAGAAAAAATAACCAACTTCTCACCTTTAATAAGCACAAAAATGTCTATTAAAATGGACTTAAAATCAATATTTAGTTCAAGTTATTATTTGGACCAATATTCCCATGTATACATTAATTCTTTGTTAGAGTACATTGGCCTATTTTAGAAAAAAATAAACCCTCTGGTTTTGAAACCTCAGAATTTGTTTACACTGTGGAATGACTTTCAAGTGAAAATATTTTTTCTGGAATTTGATTTAAAGCAGCATTATGACAACTCCAATGTTCTGTCAATACCTAATATTATTTCTCTCCCTAGATAGCTCATATTCAGCTCTTTTCTGTCTTCCTCCAGCTCTTTTTAAATTTTCTCCTTCTTACAACCCTCTGTGTACTCCCAATGCTCACCCCAGATTATAATTCTGGTAAAGAGAATTGTACAGACCACATGATGCTTAGAACATAATAATATCTCAATAAACATTTCTTGAATTAATGTGTAAAAATTATTTATATGACAAGGAGGAGATGTTATTCCACAGTCCTAGTCAGTTTCTTGCTTTTTAAATGCTTGTTAAATGTTAAAATGACATTACATTTCTTATCAATAGCACCTGTTGGATGCTATTGAAATCTACATTCCATCAATAAAACTTAGTGTATTTAAGACTCTGAGCTCTGTAACACACTACTGCCTTAGAAATTACATCATCTAAAAAAGAAATTATTTGCCAAGAAGCAAGCCTTAGCAGGTACAATTAAAACAACAAATGCATAATCTATGGGTAAACAAAGAAAAGAAACATTTAAATAGCATTAAAAATTGGCTGAAAAATTATGCCAAGTCAATAAACGTAAAGTATAGCCTGGCCAATTTGGCTCAGTTGGTTGGGGTCCTCCCGTGCACAGAAAGATCCCTGGTTTGATTCCTGGTCAGGACACATATCCAGATTGCGAGTTCAATCCCTGGTCCCGGTGTGTGCAGGAGGCAAGGGATTAATGTTTCTCTCTTTTGTTGATATTTCTCTCTCCCCCCCTCTTCTTCCCTCTCTTTATAAAAGCCAATAAAAACATTTTTAAAAAATTTAAAAAGTGAAGGTAAAGTATTGGGAAAGAGGAGTTAGATACAGCTATTTCTAAATATATGACACGGCTACATAAAGATTCAGATAAAGGGGAGTCTGTCTCTTAGTTAATCCAACAAAAATTTGCCTTAGAGAAATGTCTTGCTTACAATAATTAAATTGTTGAAGTAAAATTTAAATTTATTTCCAATTTATAGATGCAAGCCATAGACACAGTGATGTTAAGGAGATGTTATTCCACAGTCCTAGTCAGTTTCTTGCAGATGGCTATAGAAAAGCAAGGCCTCCAGTAAAAATTAAATGATTCAGTCGTGAAAGCCTGAGCCTTGGGCAAGTGCAAGCTTTAAGAACCCTGAAACAGGAAGTAAATGCACCACAGGGCTAGAGTATGGAATTACACCTAGAATACCCAGAAAGCAATTCAGACTGGCCAGAACTCTTCCCTTGGGCATGATACTTCATTGGTACTTTATTAAGTGAGGAAGAACTGGAGACTGACATCAGATCATGTAGTCTCAAGTACTCACTGAGAGGATACTGTAGAGGAGGGGTGAGGAACCTTTTTTCTGCCAAGGGCGATGTGGATATTTATAACATCATTTGAGAGCCAAAATTATCAACTTAAAAATTAGCCTGCTATATTTGGTCAAACATTTAGTTAACTCACCCCTCATGCCTTGTTAGGGCCAGAGCAGGGGCCAAGTATTCCCCACCCCTGCTGTGGAGTCCGTTTGATCTCACTTTGTCATTTTCATTAAGTATCAAGTTATAGAACCTCTCTCAGAACTTGTGATATACAAAATACTTATATATGCAGCTCATATGTATAAATATATTTATGTATGCATTGGTGGATGCATGCACATAGACACACGGGCGTGTGTATACATATAGCACAGAGTACCCTACCTGGCCGCTGCAATTAAGAATCTTGGTGTACAAAAAAGAACAAAACAAGATCACTTCTCTGTTGTAACTGTCTTAACAAGGCTTAATTCTGTGAGTAGACTACATATTAAACTAAAATAGGGTGGATTATTTTCCAGTATTCTTCATCATGATGAATTTCTAATAGAATACATTTTCAAAGCCAACTTTGGCTTACTAGGGAGAGCATGGCATGATGCGAAGAACATGGATATTGAAATCCAATTGACTCTGGTCTGATTAGCTGGCTTTGTGGCCTTGGACAAGCTGTTTAATCTTTCTAAACTTCTTTAAATAAAAATTCTATTTATGGTTCCAGATGGTTTTGAAGACTGAATGTATCTGAAGAACTAAGCATGTGCCAAGCACATAATGCACAACAATAAGCATTACAACTTATTGTTGAAGTTATTCTTTACATAACATGAGAAAGAGCTGCAGTCAGGACTGTTTGCTTCTGATACATCTATTCTTCATTCGCCACAATTTATTTTAGGAGACTGCTCTTCTCCCATTATGAAACACATTAACCTACCCCCAATAATAAGGGTGGTTCTGGATTGGCTTAACCAATGAAGTCCACTCCCTTGTGCAACTACTGGTTCAAGGACAGGCACATGACTTAATTCAGACCACTGAGATACAAGGAGGTATTTAAGAGGGGAAATAATGTTTTTGAGAAAACTACCAAGAAAGCATCATGCTTTGAAACTGAATGTGTATAGACATCATGCCATAACACAGGGACTGGCAGCCTTCAAATGGAGCCACCACCGTGGAGAGCAGAGTGAAAGAAAGAGAATAGTTTTGGGTGAAGAGTGAAGGAAAGAGAATAGTTTTGGAGCCACTGGATCAAACCTGGCCTCAAGAGTAACTTCCCTCTAGATTTTTCAATCAAGTGAACTTGTAAAATCTCTATAATATTATATATAGCTTCTGTACAATCAACTCAAAGATCCCTAGTGAATAAAATAATATCTATCAATAAATTACTTGGAGAATTAAATATTTATAAATAGAAATGTAAATATAAATACACACACATCTGGAATAAGTAGGAAACAATAAGAGGAAAGAAAAAGA